CAGTCTCCCTCTCCCACAGCCCAGCCAGCCAGTGGAAGGCTGGGGCTGATTTCCTCATTTCCCCCTCCCCCCCTCCCCCATGACTGTGGGCAGGGCTGGGCTGCGGGGGGGGGTGAGGCAGCTAGCAGCCCCTCCCACAGCTCCCATACACCCCCCACAAAAATTCCTGCATTTGGGCCTGCCATGCAATATACTGACTACATTTAAAGCATTCCATTACATTTTGTTCTATTACTACTTCAGTAGCTTAAATATTTGTTGATTAGCATCATTCTTACTTTCTTTCATATTTCTTATCCAAGCATATATATTAATTTTGGTTTTACATTGTAGGATGATTCGTCCTTTCCACAACAGGCACAACAATTGTTATATTTCTGTTGATTTTCTCAAAATTAGTAATATCTTTCTGGTAATGAGATGCCTCTGACCAAATGCATTATTACAGGGGGTAAATCGTTACTTTCTCACTTCCTGATGTTATGCATAAATATGTAGCCCAAAACTGCATTGGCCCTTTTTGCTACCATCTTTTATGTAATTGGTGACATAATTTGTTGTCCAGTGTCACTTCTATGGTAGGTCTGGACTTACTTTCACTTTCAAAAGAAGATATGCAAATTACACAGTAATTTCCTTATCTTCTTCTGATCGCTTTTTTGAAAGAGTTTTTTTTTTTTTCAAAAAAGCCAGCAGGTTAGATGCAGTTCCCCTTTTTTAAAAAGAACCATCTTTCTCAAAAATTGAGGTTTATAGGTTCTTTCGAAAACAGGTTGCTTTTTCAAAAAAAAAAACTTGAAAAAGAGATCAAAAGATATGCAAATTACTGCCAAATTTGCATACCTTTCGAAAGTGAAAGTAAGTCTAGACGTACCCTATGGAGATGTACTCTATAGTCTCGCGTGATACTCATCAATAAACTAGGCAAATACAACTTAGATGGGGCTACTATAAGGTGGGTGCATGACTGGCTGGATAACCATACTCAGAGGCTGTGTCTAGACTGGCAAGTTTTTCCGGATAGTCAGCAGCTTTTCCGGAAAAACTTGCCAGCTGTCTACACTGGCCACTTGAATTTCCGGAAAAGCGCTGACGATCTCATGTAAAATCATCAGTGCTTTTCCAGAAAAACTATGCTGCTCCCGTTCGGGCAAAAGTCTTTTTCCGAAAGACTTTTGCCCAAAAGGGCCAGTGTAGACAGCATAGTACTGTTTTCCGCAAAAAAGCCCCAATCCCGAAAATGGCAATTCGGGGCTTTTTTGTGGAAAACCGCGTCTAGTTTGGCCACGGACGCTTTTCCGCAAAAAGTGCTTTTGCAGAAAAGCATCCTGCCAATCTAGACGTGCTTTTCTGAAAATGCTTTTAACGGAAAACTTTTCCGTTAAAAGCATGTTGGAAAATTCATGCCAGTGTAGACGTAGCCAGAGAGTAGTTAGGAATGGTTCACAATCCTGCTGGAAAGGTATAACAAGTTGGATTCCGCAGGAGTCTGTTTTGGGACCAGCTCTGTTCAATATCTTCATCAACGATTTAGATATTGGCATAGAAAGTATGCTTATTAAGTAAGCAGATGTTACCAAACTGGGAGTGGTTGCGACTAATCTGGAGGATAGGGTCATAATTCAAAATGATCTGGACAAATTGGAGAAATGGTCTGAGGTAAACACGATGAAGTTTAATAAAGACAAATGCAAAGTACTGCACTTAGGAAGGAACAATCAGTTTCACACATACACAATGGGAAGCAACTGTCTAGGAAGGAGTATAGCAGAAAGGGATCTAGGGGTTATAATGGACCACAAGCTGAATATGAGTCAGCAGTGTGATGCTGTTGCAAAAAAAGCAAACATGATTCTGGGATGCATTAATAGATGTGTTATGAGCAAGACACGAGAAGTCATTCTTCCACTCTACTCTGCGCTGGTTAGGCCTCAGTTGGAGTATTGTGTCCAGTTCTGGTCACCGCATTTCAAGAAAGATGTGGAGAAATTGAAGAGGGTCCAGAGAAGAACAGCAAGAATAATTAAAGGTATAGAGAACATGACCTATGAAGGAAGGCTGAAAGAATTGGGTTTGTTTAGTTTAGAAAAGAGAAGACTGAGGGGGGACATAACAGTTTTCAGGTATCCAAAAGGGTGTCATAGGGAGGGTTAATGGGGGGGCTGTCAGGATCCATGAGGCCCTGCAGAAGAGCTTCCACCCCGAGGAGCCTGCAGAGCCACCCCAGTCCTCCCCATCGGGGGCTCATGCCCCATTCCTCCCTCACCTCCTTCCACTTACCCCTCCCTAGCCCCTCTTTCTGATGTAAAAAATAAAGTACACGTGTGGTCAAAAATAGAAACTCTCTTTATTTAACAAACCTGGGGGGGGGATTAATTTCTGGGGAGACTTCGAAAAGGAGGTGAGAGAGGGGAAGAGAGAGAGTGGGAGAGGGGAAGTGGAAACCTGGGAGGAGGGAGCTAGAAGGGGGAAGCTAGGGGAAGAAGGAGGAGGGGAAGTATAAAACTATGGTATGCCATATCTTCAGTACTGTGTACAGATGTGGTTCTCCTCACCTCAAAAAAGATATTTTGGCCTTGGTAAGGGTTCAGAAAAGGGCAACTACAATGATTAGGGGTTTGGAACAGGTCCCATATGAAGAGAGGTTAAAGAGACTGGGACTTTTCAGCTTAGAAAAGAGGAGACTGAGGGGGGATATGATAGAGGTCTATAAAAGCATGAGTGGTGTGGAGAGGGTGAATAAAGAAAAATTCTTCATTAGTTCCCATAATAGAAGAACTAGAGGATGCCAAATGAAATGAATGGATAGCAGGTTTAAAACTAATATGCGAAAGTTCTTCACACAGCACATAGTCAACCTGTGGAACTCCTTGCCACAGGAGGCTGTGAAGGCTAGAACTCTAACAGAGTTTAAAGAGAAGTTAGATAAATTCATGGAGGTTGGGTCCATGGAGTGCTATTAGCCATGGGGTAGGAACGGTGTCCCTGGCCTCTGTTTATGGAAGGCTGGAGATGAATGGCACGAAACAAATCGCTTGGTCTTCGGTCCATCTCCTCCGGGGTACCTGGTGCTGGCCACTGTCGGCAGACAGGCTACTGGGCTAGATGGACCTTTGGTCTGACCCAATACGGCCATTCTTATGTTCTAAGCTCAGGGTCGGGGGTCTCACTGGACCAACTTGATTTTCATGCAAACCTGCTCCTGGGTTTTTATGTGGCCTTTGGTGGCCAGGCTGG